CACACACACACACACAAAACATCTGTTTGAGTGAATCACCCAGCAGTGGTCCAGTATAAGTTTGCCTTCGTCTTCCTTTTCTGATCCGATATCCGACGTTTAAATAATTCAGGTTGTGTAGTGAACGGCAGCTGTCAGGCACCCCCCTGCACCGCCACACTTCGTCCATCGCCAAGATGACGACCGGAACGCGCCCGATTTACAAAGCGCCCGGGTGGCTTGGCTGTCCAGCCGGTCCGGTGCGGCTTATGAACAGATATCCACACGTGGTGGCATTCATAACGTTTCAGGCATCACAACAATCCCGGATTATGTGCTATTGTTTCACTTGTCGATCCATATAAGCGGCTCGCGTTCACACCAGAGGTGTGCGCTTAAATCTGGAAATTCCTTTCAGGTGGCTGGATTAAGAACTATGACAAAACTGTAAGAATATTAAATACACAAATAAATAAGTTTATCTATTTGTATTATACTTAACGTATGGGTGTGAAACTTGGTCTCTGCTATTAAGGAGGAACAAGTAAAGCTATCCCAGTAACAAATCGTTGAGGTCAATGGGGTTGTGAGACGTCGAGTCTCCCACATTTTCTAGACAATCGGTTCACAGATGGAGGTGGATTTGTCAGCCTTACGCTCAGACCGTCCTTCCCCCCACCCCAGAAAGATTCCTGGTACTCATTTCTGTTAGAGGCTGAATCGACCCCAGGGCCTAGTGCGCCTGGAAGAATTAGGTTAACTGAGAAATCCAAACCGAACCCGAGACCTTCCAGCTTGTAGCATGGTATCTCAATCTACACAGAATGTTTTTCTAATCTTCATAGATCACATAGACGTGAATCGTTTAAGACAGAATGTTGCCAGGCAGTAAATTTTAATGCAAAGATTTATTTTAATGCAATAATAAAAACAATAATAATATCGCGATAGGGTAAAATAGAGGTTGCTATCATATTTAAGAGGAAGTGACTGAAGAAAATGTTTCTGCTGGGTGCGTACTGCATAGGAGATAGCATAGGCTTCTCCTTAAACAGAGAAGAACACAAAAACATAATAAACGCATACAGACATCGATGCCTCGAGTGGGTTTCGAACCCACGATCCCGGCTTACGAGCGAAGACAGTACATGCCTTAGACCGCTCGGCTACCGTGACCGGCAGTGTATAAGAATAATATATAAGAATTCAGTCCGTACCTCACAGGAAACAGATCCGAACCCACGATCCCGGCTTCCGAGCGAGCGAAGACAGTTCATGCCTTAGACCGCTCGGCTACCGTGACCGGCAGTGTATAAGAATAATATATAAGAATTCAGTCCGTACCTCACAGGAAACAGATCCGAACCCACGATCCCGGCTTCCGAGCGAGCGAAGACAGTATATGCCTTAGACCGCTCGGATACCGTGACCGGCTCCATTCGTTTAGGGAGTTATAATTTATATAAATAAAAAATAAGGATAATGCTCGTAAAGAACTAAAATTTGTAAGAATAATTCATCTTTCTTGCAGGTTTATATCTCTATAAACACTTAAGTGTCATGTTACTGTCTACATTCCTCATAAAATTCACCAAAGCGGTACGTGGGAAATTAGTGTAATATGTACGTAGTTACAAGCGTTAAATACGAGTTTAATAAGGAAGGGTGAATAAGAAATGAATAATTTGATTGTTTTAGTACAAAATTTATAAGAAGGAACACTGACGAAGAATGCGCACCTCTGTTTTATAGCCTGCATTAATGAATAACTAACACGAACACGGCCGGTGACAGTAGCCGAGCGGTCTAAGGCATGAACTGTCTTCGCTCGCTCGGAAGCCGGGATCGTGGGTTCGGATCTGTTTCCTGTGAGGTACGAACTGAATTCTTATATATTATTCTTATACACTGACGGTCACGGTAGCCGAGCGGTCTAAGGCATGAACTGTCTTCGCTCGGAAGCCGGGATCGTGTGTTCGATTCCCACTCGGGGCAAGGATGTTTAGTGTTTGTGTGTATTTGTGCGTTTTTCTGTGTTTGTGACGAGCTGATCACCCGCCCAAGAAGTCATACAGAATGTCTAAGATCTAGTAAACAGAAGTGAAACGGAGAGTTTCATGGAGGTAGGTCAAGGCATTGGGGCTGTAGCGCCAAAAGGGGGAGAAAATGAACAAGTTTCACATAAAACTGGTGAAAAATATGTATCAGTTTTATGATGTTTAAGGCATTTCATGCAGTACGTATTACACCTCTATGAAATATTCCTGGGCATTTAGTTTTACTCACACCCTGTATATAAAATTCGTCTTACCTTATAGATGCCGTCTACAAGTTTGGTAATCTCTTCAGTTTCCATTGTGGCGGCTGATAATAGCTGTTTCTTCTTACTTGATATCTTTCTCACGTATAAGATTTAGGATGACGGTTTTTAACATTCAGCCACTCATTTCATACACGAATGGCTTCTACTTGTTCTTGTTAAGGACACTAGGATCGCCACTAGCGACAGGAACACGGTTAATTCTACTATGGTGTTTGCATTCCAATACCAGCATCATGGGGATCTGAAACAAAATAGACTGTATCACTTACTTGTATCAATTAAGCCTTCTTCTGAACCCAACATCTTCACGGTAAAATTAAAGATTGAAACAGAAAGTAAAGCTATCCCTGTAACAGTCCATCCAGGCCAATAGAGGTGTGAGACATCGAGGCTTCCACATCATCTAGACAATCGGCTCACAGATGGAGGCAAGACTTTCAGCCTTACGCGGTGGCCGCCCTTTTACCCCCCCGGGAAGATTCCTGGTACTTATTTCTGTTAGAGACTGAGTCGACCCCAGGCCCATAGTGCAACTGGAAGGATTAGGTCAATTGAAAAATCCAATAACTTCATCGGGATTCGGCCCCGCGACCTTCTGGCTTGTAGCATAGTGTCTCAACCAACTACGATACCGCGTCCCCCGAGACAGAAAATAACAGCCAATTTCTCAGTGGAGCTGTAGAGAAGCACACTTTCCTGTTTCACAGATTTATATTCTAACAGAGTTGTTACTATTATCATTATTTTTATTTTCGTGAAGAACTTACTACTTAAGGACAGACTCTGTATACATTAGATCTGTCAGATGTAATCGCTTACCAAACATCACATGCCTGGCTTTAGTAGACCATTAGTCACGGCTGTCAAATCGAAAAGCTAAGAAATATGTTCGCGCTCCCGCCATGTTGCTATTAATATTCCTAGAGAATACTGTAAACAATTAATGTTTACATGTTCTACTACATTGCATCATTTCGAAACCCTAAATAAGTGGGTATACACTCGCTCCTACATCACAGTTCCACGCGTCCGACATTTCGTTAATACCAATTGTAGTAAATTGAAAAGTATACCTTTGGGATGGCCCCCAAATCACATAATTGGTCAGTTGGTTCAAAAGATAACATGCACAAAAATCAGTGGCCATATATGCCTATTTTCCCCTTTTAAGGAAGGAAAATAGCCTATAAATTATGTCAAAAGCAGTTTCTGATATTTTGCCCATGCACCACTACATAAGAAAGTTCAAGGCGTGTGGATGTGACACTTAGCTTAGCGTTCTCTACAAAGTGAAAGAAAAATTCCTTACGTGGGTTACGCGTCTTTCTGTCTGTGGCCTAGCCATCGGCGATATCTGCTGGACAGATTTTCTTCAAATTAGATACCGGAGACTTTCATTAAAAGTTTCCGATGATTTTAATTTTCAGCCACACTGATCCGTAATAAAGCAAGTTTTCCGTGACGATACTAAATGACATTTCGTGTATCCTATAAACTATCTAACAAATGTTATTGAAATTCTATACGGGAATCTTCCCCCCCCCGGCACTACAGCCCCAGTGGGCCTAGGCCTACCTCCATGAACTTCTCCGTTCACTTCGCTTTTTCTAGATCTTACACATACGGTAGGACTTCTTGGGCGGGTGATAAGCTCGTCGCAAGGCCTCTACCTGTAGACAAACACACAAAAACGCACACAAACATCCGTGCCTTCAGTGGGATTCGAACCCACGATCCCGGCTTCCGAGCGAGCGAAGACAGTGCATGCCTTAGACCGCTCGGCTACCGTGACCGGCAGTGTATAAGAATAATATATAAGAATTCGGTTCGTACCTCACAGGAAACAGATCCGAACCCACGATCCCGGCTTCCGAGCGAGCGAAGACAGTACATGCCTTAGACCGCTCGGCTACTGTGACCGGCAGTGTATAAGAATAATATATAAGAATTC